CTCAGAGGGGCTGCTGTAATAGGTCTGAGGATTTTTAAAGCTCAGGGTGACTGGACTATATTACCAAGGCTGGAGCCCATTGGTCATAATCAACTCCATCTCTTTATAGACAAGAACAATGTCCAGGTGAAAAGGTGTCTTGCTCCAGGTTATAAAGCAAATTTGCAAGTAGAGCTAGCAATTCCAAGATCCCAAGCTGACTTGGGGCCGCCTCCACTACCCAAGAGCCTGACACTTCCACACCCCAAGCCCTTTATCTCTGCATGTAGGAATTGGCAGAATCCTTTTTTTTCCAAGAGTGTTCCTGGGGAAGGGTCTGTGGCTCATTTGAAAGTGTCCTTACTTAGGATGCAAGAGCCCTCAATCCCCAGCACCACAGGTGTCTCAGCTCTTCGGAGGTAGAGACAGGAGGATCAGAAGTTCAAGGCCATCCTCTGCTATCTAGTGGTTCAATATCAATCTAGGATACATGAGACCTTGTCTCAGACGGAAAACAACAAAAACATTGTGGTTGGGATTTAGTGCAGTAAATAGTGATGCATATGATAAGGAGTAACAAGCTGAGGTTTGAGATGCTGTCCAGCACTGGGGTGGGGGTGGGGAGGATTACACATGACATGTGCACACACTTGCACATGCGAGCATACACAAGCACACACAGGAAAAGCTCGTGCTGACTTCCTAGATGCACTTGACTGTCTCCCTTCTATACTCTGTCTTCCTCTCCTCACCTTGCCTTCTTATACTTACTGAATCTGCTCTTGTCCGTCTTCCATAGAGCACCATGGGTCTCAGAGAGCAAGCTACCAGAATTACTCCCCCAGGCCCCTTGCCAGCCATCCTGCCAGCCCACATGTCACCATTTCCCAAGGCACTTCAGAACAGGCCAAAGTCATCTGCATTTTGACACACACAGGCTCTGAGACCTGTGGTGTTGCTTCACTCAGGAGCCCCCAGAGCGGACCCCTCATCCACTTTCCTGCTTTGTCCCTGTCCTTCCTTCTCTGGGTGAATCGTGGTAACATCATGTGTCTCCAGGTCTGCTGGAATCATTACAGCTCAACCTTCAGTCTTGCAGGATTACTAATCTGCACCGTGCTTGTGAGGTGGGTTGGTAAGTCATTGATAGGCAGGGAAAAATTAAAGCCATTATATCATGGTACCAATAACAATAAAAGTGGCTTGATTTATCATCTTGTCTATGAGTTCATCTTAACTGTCATTTTTTTTTCTAATTTTATGTTGATTACTCTCCTTTCTGGCTTAGCATTTCTGTACCACCCCCACTCCCACAGGCATCCCACACCCCCACCCCATCTCGACCCCCACCCCACCTCACCCCCTACCCTATCTATTGAAACATGTCTATTTGAAGTTTTGGGACTGTGTATCAGGGATTCATGATAGCCTGTAATTTAAAGGTGGAAACAGTCTATAAAGCCTTCGTGTCATAAACGTAGCGCTGTGGCCCTGAACACTGTACACTTTGCCATCTAGTGTCTTGGGTGTGATCAGTCAAAGCTTTGAGTCCCTTGCAGTTGGTGACCAAAACAATATGAATGCCTTAGGCGACATTGTGCTCAAAGCTATGCTTAGAGAGCAAATAGTACAGCCCAACTCCTCAATTCTAGTAATTTATTCAGGGAGAAAGGGGTGTTTCTATTTAAAATTATTTATACAAAATAAATAAGGTCATATCCTGTTAAATTGTTTTTACCATAAAAGAGGCATATTGAAATATTGTACTAAACTCAGAACCTCCACGAAAGGTTTTGGAAATACATGAAAAAGAAATTAAGTCTGCAACTATTTACCAACTAAATGACAAATACACAAATTGTAATATTTTGTCTGTGTCATTAGCTTGTTTCAAAAGAGCAGATGGTACAATACACAAATATAAAAGCATTTTCTGCCAAATGGTCTTCAGGATTCTACCAATAAAACATTTGTATAATTAAACAAAATAACACAAAAAATAATTTAGTACCATAAAGTAAATGTATGAACTGAATTTTCTTTTCAGTTTTACTAAGGGAGTCTATCTATGAACATTTCTATAGAAAGTCACAGATAAAATAACTAGTGCTCCAGGGTAAATAAACCATTTTGACAGTTGCAGACTTTGTTTTTACAATATTATGCTCTAAATATTGAGTTATCAACAAATCTGAAACATGTTGAGAGTAAGTAGAATTAATCTAGAAAAATACTGTGTCTGAGTGTATCATAGGCTTTTCATCACCAAGGTAAAATAATACTACCATCCCCCAAAACGACCCTTAGCCTAAGAATTTTACTCAGTGTTAGGACTATTAAAGATAATGGGGGGGGGGCAGCTAGAGAGATGGTTCAGTGGTTAAATGTACTGGCTGCTCTTCCAAAGGACCTGGGTTCAGTTCCCAGTACCCACGTAGTGACTGGCAACCATCTATTATAACTCCAGTTCCAGAGGATCTGAGCCTGCTTCTGGCCTCCACAGGTACTGTACACATGCAGTACACAGACATACACAGGCAAAACACCCATAGACATAAGATAAAAATAAATACAATCTCAAAAAAATTAAGAAATACAATGAGGGACTTTTATGGGAGCCACGGGGAGAAAGCAATGGTTTGAATGTAAAAGCTCCCCATAGGCCGATGTGTTTGAACACTCGGTGTCCAGCTGATGGCATTGTTTCAGGAGGTTCCGGAAGCATTAGGAGGTTGAAGTGAGTTATTAGGGGCAAGCCTTGAATCTGGACAGCCTGGCCCTACATCTTGTCCTCCACAACTTGCCCCATGGAGGCTGCAACCAGACTCACACCCCAGCTGCCATCCCACCTGCTGTGATGGACTGTGTCTCTTTGCATCTTAAACCAAAATAAACATTACTTCCTCAGTTGTTTCTGGCCAGGTATTTGACCACTGCAAAGGAAAGAGCAGCAATCCACATACAGACCTTTAGAAGATACGTTTCACCAACAGTTTAGCCTAGTTGGGAATTAAATGTGGAAAGAGGGTGAGTTGGTTTATCTCTCCTACTATGTCTCCCTAGGTATTCACTTACTAGACTCGTAATTCCCCAAGACACATTAATAGTATTTTGTCTTTAGAGGTCATTTGAATTAGATGGAGTCAGGAAGATGGGGTTCCCATGATGAAGGTGGTGGCTTTATGAGGAGGCAAGTGTTAACTAGCTCTGTCTTGATGCCATGTTGTACATCAAGAGGTCTGTACCGGATGCCAGGACCTTGGCACTGCAGTTCCTGGCAGACCTTTAAGATGAATAGACTTCTATTATTTATGAGTTGTATAGTCTGAAGTATTCATTCATCATAGTAGAAAATTAATACAACCCCACTGACCAAAAAGCCCTGTTCCTTAGTCCATCTCTGTCTGCCTCCCTACTCCATCGGGCCAGTGCCTGGCATTCTCTGAATTTCTACTGGACACAAAGCTCCCATGATGACCTCATTCTGCTGAAGGGTTTTGAGGTGTCCTTTCTCCTCCTCCTCCTAAGCACTTTGACATTCTCTTTCTGTCATCTTTGGTTTTTGTCTCTATTGTTCTCTCAGGTCTCACCTCCTGTGGCCATCTGAATGTCCTTATTGCACTGGTCACCTCAGTGTACTTTAGCTAATTGTTAGTACTTTTTACTTTATTACATTTTTTAATTTAAATTAAAAACTATCTAATTTTACATGCTGATCCCAGTTCCCTCTCCTTCCTATCCTCCCATCTTCCCATGCTCCCCAACCTCCAACCCGCCTCCATATACTACCCAGGGAGGGTGAGGCCTCCCATGGGGGGTCATCAAAGGCTGTTACATCATTTGGGGCAGGTGCTCCCCCATGGTTTTTTTTTTTTTTAACAGAGTCTCACTCTGAAGTCCAGGCTGGCCTTGACCTCCCAGACATCCTCCTGTCTCAGCCTTTCAAGTACTAAATAATAGGCACAAAATCCACTAGCAATCTACAGACACATAATTATGATATAAAATGAAAATGCGCAAAGTTGGCTATGATATCAAGAAACAGAATTATTTTTCTTTACATTCAAGGGTTAGAATAAATGATGCAGAAAGAAAATTATTTTTAAATGATATTTATTATTAAACTGATTAATGGGAAATTAGCCTAACAAATGAAACAGTTTTGAGCTAGTCTAACAATATTTTCCATAACCATTAAAAATTTGCTCTAGGAGACTAATGACAGAAAAATTATTCAATAAAAATGAATAAAGAAGACATATACCTATAGCATGATCTGACTACATAAGACACAGCACATAGGAACTGTCAATGATGTCTCTGTATTGTATTAGAGGTGATCTTTTTCTTTATATATAGTTTTTGTCTTTTAAATTTTTACAATTCGTATATATTACTCTGTAATCAAGAAAAATAGACACATAAAATAAACTATTGATTCTATAACATTTGATTTCAATAACAAGTCCAGTTGTATAAAGAACACCACAGCCAAAGCTGATTGTTCATGAGGAAAACCATACTGCATCGCAAGATGAAGTATGACACAGTAATGAGTTAGGCATTGTGACCCTGTGTCAGCAGGGGTAGCTATGCCTGCTTTGACTGGCTTATCCTGCCTGCCTGGTATAGGCTTATCTCTAAGACCACTCAGGTGTAGCAAGAAAGCGTCCCCATGTGGGACTCAGTAAGACTAAGGGTGGAGGGTGTTAAAGGAGAAGACCCCATTAGCCTTTCCATAGAAATCAGTAGCATGGTCGATGCCAAAGCTCCAAGTGAGACTAATTCAAAGCTCACTTGCAGGCAGAGCAGCACAGAGCAGCTCTCAATGACCCCAAAGACAGATTTCCAGTGCGTTCTCACCAGATAGTGCTCAGATCTACAACAGAGGCGTTCTTCACAGGTTCAGTAAGAGTTCATCTTTCTTCTTGTGGGAAAGATAATTTCATTCATTACAAGGTCTGCTCAAAGAGAAAAGGATGTTCAATCAACACACTCATGTTGCTCACTTAATAGAAGGAGGAGGAAGAAGAAGAAGAAGAAGAAGAAGAAGAAGAAGAAGAAGAAGAAGAAGAAGAAGAAGAAGAAGAAGAAGAAGAAGAAGAAAAGCCCTCCTTTCTCCTTCCTGCAACCACCGAGGTGCAATGGATTCCACAGTCAATTTCCCAAAGAGGCCAGCGCTCATGACTCATCTTTATTTTTTGCGGAACATTTATCAAAAACATTCTCCAATGTGCAGGCTGTCAAAGGACAGGAAGTGAGAAAGCCCTCAAGAATCTGGGATTTAGAGGGCGCCTCAAAAACACAGCAATGTAAGTTTCCATAATGTGTTCTCTGAGCATATTCATAAATTAATATTAGCAGCATGTGATAAAATAGTGCTCTTACAAGGACTGTTTTTAGCCTTCAGTCTCTTGGCCATCTCCACTGTACATCCTTCCATCATTGCCTTGTGAAAATGGATCAGGGAAAGTCACAGCTGTTAGGTACCATGGCAACTGAGGTTGTCACTTCCAAAGGCATGTGAAGTTTAATATTGGGCACAGGTAGATTTTCATCTGTGTTCCTAATGTTGATGCTCAAACTTCCGTCAGTTAGTCTGCTATGGTACCATGCTTCCTGTCTTACCTAGCGGTACTGTAAAAAACGACGGTGAGTACAGTTGTTTAATCGCCCCTAAAGAGGGCAAATTCAGGTACTATTCATCTTATCATTATTTTACAGTCACCAGTATCTGTTACAAAGCTTCTTCCATCTGCGACAAAAAAAAAAAAAAAAAAAAATCTAGAATCCAAATGTGTGCAACATGGCTTCACAACACAGAGAGGTACAGATGGCTAACAAGCTGATGTCTTGCGCAAAATGATCCCAAAGCAAATGGCCAAGAAGACGTTTGTACTACTTGTAACTTCTCCTGCCTTTCTTGGAGTAATAAAAAATAAGAGAGAGAGAAATAATAAAAGCAAATGCCAGAAACGAGATGAAGACAAGTAAAGACTTCCGGGTGTGAAAAAAGCTGCATTCGGTGCACACGGTGTACTCCTCTGGACAAAACCTTCCCTTTGGTTCAGATCCCAGGAAGCCACTGTTGTCCACAATTTTCCTATAATGTCTCATAGATGGTTTGGGCTCAAACTGATTCGCAGCATATCGATAAAAGCCAAACTTCGGAGCTGAACGATCACTAAGCGAATAAGCAAAGTAGCCACGGAGGTTGATTCCGTCCAACACATAGGCTGGGAAAACAAAAGGCAGGAGAGGATTACTGAAACATTTTTGCACACAATTCAGCCCTTTTTACACAGCTTGACGATAAAGAAAAGCCTCAGTACCATCCAATAAAACTTCAGGCTCACCAGAGTTCACTGGGAAGGTTTTGCCCAAGAACAAACAGGAAACTATCAAGACAACATGGAAATACACTACACAGTTGGTTTTGCACAATCAAACCTACACTTGCTTTATTTTTAGCACATCAAGCAGTTAAAATGGCTGTAGGGACCTCTATCAGGAGATGAAAGGACAAAGGAATTGTGGCACCCGTACATGCTGGGGTTTTGTTCAATGAAAAGATGTCACTTGCAGGAAAATGTATACAACAGAGATCATAATGTTAAGCAGAGAAGGCTTACCTTTCAGGGCCTCGTTTACGTAGTTCTCAACATAATAGGTTCTCAGAGCGTCTTGCTCGTCGTGGGGATCGTCATCTATGCCATTGGCGGTCACATACATGGGGAGGTCTCCGTATTTGAACCTCATCCAGCTGAGCACTTTGCGCAGCCCCCAAGGCACCACCGCCACCTGACTGGGAGAGTTGAGCCACGTGATGTCAGTCATCTCCTGTACCTCCAGGTAGTCGTTGTATTTTATCGGGTCCTCCTTTTCCCAGTCTACAAGGATGGTTGTGTAATGACTCAATGCCAGGAAGTCAAAGGAACCCCGGATCAGCTTCTCTTCGTCTTCAGTGAAATAGGGCAAAAGGAAATTGTTTTTTTGGTTCAGCCAGTCTCTCATCACACGTGGATAATCTCCAGAGCCAAAAATGGGCTCTGCTAGCCAGCCAATATCAAATTCCAACACTCTCTCTGCCACTTCTCTGTCCTTTTGAGAGAAAGAACAGGCCGGTTCTATCCAGTCGGCCTGCAGGGCAATGGATATTTTACCTTTCTGAGCCGCCCTAAACTTCTCATCGTATAGGTGCCAAGCCAAGGCATGTGCTTTCAAGAGGTGATGCCCGGCGCGGTAGGTCATGTTCCGTGTGTTGGGCTCATTTATGGTGATCCAGAACTTGACCCAGTGGCCCAGCTCCTTAAAGCACAAGTTCGCATAGTCTGCAAACGCCAGGACTGTGTGCGGGTTCTCCCAGGCTCCATGTTTGGCCAGGGCATGAGGCAGGCCTTGGTGCAGGGATGCTGGTTGCCACAGGGCCACCACTGGAGTGATGTTGGCGCGCACCAGCTCGCTGATTACGCAGCGGTAGAAGTGAAGAACCGTACGGTTCACTTGGGTCTGATTACCCAGAGGCAAGATCAGGGCCCAGTCCAGGGAGAAGCGAAAGTGGGTGACATGAACTTCTCGAAGTAAGGCTATCTGAGGCCGGATGGCAGAGAAATCAACACAGTAGGGTTTTCTCTTCTTGCCTACAACCCCGTCCACTTTAATAAGCCTCTTACTGTGATGCACATCCCAAAGGTAGATGTTTGGGTCGGTAAACTGGGAGAGAGTGGTGTCCACCTACAAAGAACCAAGCAACTGTTACCTACCTGGATAGACCCGAAAATACTCAGAAGTAATAATTTCAACAGACTTAGCAAGCAAGGGTTGCACAATTAGGCTCTCATCCAAATGAATGCTTTAACTGCTATTTACGAGAAAAAAAAAGTTACTCTCCCCCCTTCTTAAATGCATGTGTCTATTACCCATAATTCTTGCTAATTCAAACTCTTAAGATGCATTTTTAAGTCTGAATTTTGTCATGTCAGATAACAGACACTAGTGATTTCTATACGTGGGACTCTAGAATACAAGCAGAGTTTTTTTTAAATTGCTTTATTTTAATTAAAAAATATATATATAATGTATGTAGCCTAGGCTGGTCTCGCCTGCCTCTGCTTCTTGAATGCTGTGATTAGAGGTGTGTACCTCTGAAACTAGCATGGATGTTCTGGATTTAATATCAGAAGCCACTAATAGTATAAGCAGCTCTTTATTTATTTTTAAAGGTGTATTTATTTTTGTTTTATGTGTGTGGGTGTTTGCCTGAATGTGTGTCTGTGCACCACGTGCATGCAGTGTCCATAGCGGCCAGAAGAGGGCATCAGATTACCCCGGAACTGGAGTTACAGATGGGTGTAAGCTATCATATGGAGTCTGGAAATCAAAGCAGGGTCCTCTACAAGAGTAGCCAGTGCTTTTGACCACTGAGCCATCTCTCTAGCCCTGAGACTGCTTTTTAGGAACAAAAACAAATTTGTTTAAAAAAAATAGGAAAAGAAGAAAATTTGGTTATGAGTGGTCTAAAGTCGGGAAATAAAATGACACATGTTACTTGTTAAAATTATGCTTTGTATTAAGGCTTGTTCTTGGTGCCAAATATGTGTAACCCTGCCTTTTGTTGGCTTGGGAGACAATGAAAAAACTTAGAAAACACAAAGGATGACAAAAAAAAAACGTCTGAGTATGCTAAGAAGCAGTTTTGTCATTGACCCCCAGGGGGATGGGGGAGATCCTAAGTGTAGTTTTAGGTTTTGAGTTTTCTAAACTATTCTTTTTCTGTAGCGATATTAACAATAACTTTTCTCAGCCATGAGACAAGATATGTACACCTCCAAATCGAAAATAGCCGCTAGGAAAAGTAGGCCAAATGTGAGAGCAACAAGTGGCTTGCACAGGAAGGAAAACCCCACCTGCCAATGACAACCGACCTAAACTGAATTTTTCGCGGAAATTATCCTCCGAGCACAGAAGCTTTCATCTGACCTGACTAGAAGAGCAGGGGTTCAGATAAACCCTGATCTTGAATCTGTGGCAGAGGTTTTGTTGTCATCATGCGAGGGGCGGAGCGGGGGCGGGGCCGGTGCTGTATTTACAAAGGAGAGCAATAAACAGCCACAGGTCTGAGGGACACCTTCCATGGCTCACCCACCAGCTTCTCCAGATGCTGGAGGGAACGGGTCAGAAGTTCCCTTCCACCGCGAATGCCCACAAATGCTTCACAAGAGAAAACACTTGCGTGCTTTTATTTTTATTCATCTCTGACTGGGCTAAACTCATAACTTTTCTCCCAGAATCATCCCAGAATAACAGTTTCTGCTCAGTCTGACTAAAAACAAATATGAAAGATCATGATAAGATTTTGGGTGGTGGGATCAGTTCTCTAAAATATGGGGCACTTAGAAATGAGTGTGTAGGCAAATTGAGTCTGTCTAACTTAGTAATTTATTAACTTAGGTTTTACTAAAAAGTAAAAAAAAAAAAAAAAAAAAAAACTTTGAGAAGGGATGGGTACAAAACATGTGTTTAATTTGTTACTCATGGAAGTTTCTCCTCCCGGAGTGGACAGCAAAGAAGCTCTGTGTTGTGTGTAACATGTTTCACCTCTGTTAACTGGTTAACTGAAGGCATCGGTAGCAATGAGCAAACAAACCACGAACTGGGACACCGGGTCTAATCCAAGTGGCATTCCTGTGAGTGCACCCACCAGCAAACTTGTAACAGGGATGTTTTCGAAGTCATCTGTGTGAAATGTAATCCTCAACTCTTGAGTTGAGAGCGTTAACCAGGAGGGAAAAGAGAAACTTGGTGATTTAAAAATCACCTCTCAAACTCTCTTGGTGATTCAGGGACAGTGATTACTGAAGAAACTCACAACTCAGGGACCATCTAAGAAGGGTGGAAAGATGGCAAAGGCAGAGGTTGGGAAGGATCACCGGTAGACAGCATCGTCCAGGCAGACAGCGTCTTCCAGGTAGACAGGATCCCTGCACTTACGAACTCCCAGCAGCTGTGGTTGTCTTCACAGAATCAAGCCAGTCAGCAAATTAGCATAAAATTTAAAAAGCACCCACTCCTAAGAAGCTATGGGTAGCTGATGGTTTCTAGGAGAGGGAGAATCAATTTTCTTTAAAGGTGTAGCCCCTGGTGGGTGGACCATGTTCCCGTGGATGGCCCTGCACCAGGGTCACACAGGCACAAATCAGGGTCAGTGCCTATTTAAGGAGGGGGGGGGGAGAATATGAAGTTTGGGGACTTGAGAAGGTATGGATGGATCTGGGAAAAATTAGGAGGTAAATATGATCAAAATGCACTATATAGAATTCTCAAAGAATTAATAAAACCATTTTTAAAAACCCTCACTTTTCGAGACACTAATATAACTTTGTAGACATGCTGAGCACCGCTTGTGGAGAAGACACCCAGCTCATACGGAGAGAACAAAGGATTCGGTGTTTGTCTTTGTCGGCCAGGGAGTCATCTTGAGAAGAGCACAGACAGCATGAGGGAAAGCCGGCAGTATGTGCAGACAGAAGCAAGTGCCAGCTGTAGACTGTTCCCACCAGCGAGCTTACAGCCTGTTCACACCACAGCAGGACTGAGAGTGGCTTCATGTTGGGTTCACAGAGGACACAGAGGTCATGCGAGAGGGATGAACACCCTGAGTGGATGATCTCAAAGGACAGTGCAACCTGAGAGAGGGGTTTAGGGCCACTGCATGACTGACCTCGGATGAGATCCTGACCCAGCCATAAGAGCTGGGGCGTTGGACTCAGTGCGAGATCCGGCAAAATGAATAGACTACGAAAACAGTTGCTTCCAAAGGTATAAAAAAGGAATTCTCTCCTCATTTTTGGTTCCAATAGGATTGGAGCATAGGGTTCCAAGAACATAGACCATATGCCTAACACTCGCTCACTATTTTCTAGGTCCCAAAGTGAAGACACCAGCCTGCCCCATGGAACAGGGTGAGAAAAAGGTGGCTTCCACAGTAGCCCTGCCTCCCTGCATGGATACAAGTCTGAGTGTTATCTGAACTTGTCATTTGCCAGACTCCAGCTGCCATGAGAGATAGCATGTATGAACCTCCCGTGCAGGCACGTGGCCAGCAGGGACCTCTCATGAGCTAGAGAGATCAAAGCAAGACCAGGAACCATCTAATTGACTTCTGACTCCAACAAAGGTAAGGAGGCAGGGGTTGTAGGAGGCATCGAGCTTCTTCTGCCCTCCCCCTTCAACGACCCCATTTCTGCCACCTTAGAACCTACCTACCTAAGTTCCCCTACAGATGCTGACAAAGTAGGGTAGGACATTCCAGATGGCCTAGTAGAGGGAGAGAGGAGGAGATTGATGAGGAGGATGAGAAGGATGGTGCTACTATGGCTGTCTACATCCATGTCCCATAATGTCCCATACGTGTCTCATACATCCCTGTGGTGTTAGCCAGCATACCATCATGTCTAGCAAGCTTGAGAGAATTGAGTTAAATAGGCAGGCTGATTAGGGCTCATGGCTTTGAACATTCTGGTCCGTAATCATGGACCTCATGGTCTTGGGGCCTGTGGTGAGCTGGCACACCACAGTGAGGAGCACAGAGTAGGACAAATTGTCATGGCTAAAAGGGGGTGGGGGAAAGGAAAGAAAGTGGCAGAGGTCCCACTACTCTCTTCTAGGACATGTCCTCTGTGACCTAAGACCTCTCCTAGCAGTCCCAGCACCTCAGTCTTCAAAGAGCTGCCAATAGCACCAAGCTAGAAAACAAGACCCTAACAAGAAACTCCACAGGAGCCATCCCAGGCTCCAGTGCAGCTCCAGACGGCACTGCCCAGGTGTCTCCTGAAGGTGAAGAGAGTATTTAAATCACTTCCATAATGAGCGACACAGTCTAAAAGCCAAAAGAACAATGTATAGCAGCAGGGACAGGTACTTCCTAACAAAAGAAAGAATTGTGATGTCTATAAGAAATCAAAAATCCTTTTCTGTAAGAAAGCCTCTCCTTGGGCCTAAGCATCCTTCCAAATGTTTCTTCTGAAGCTACAACTTGTAGGACCAAGGAATTGGCTAGAACAGCAGTTCTCAACCTGTGGGTAGCCACCCCTTTGGGGATCGAATGACCCTTTCACAGGGATACACAGATAAGACCATTGGAAAACATGGATATTTGCATTCATAACAGCAGCAAAGATTACAGTTATGAAGTAGCAATAAAAATAAATTTATGGTTGGGGTCACCACAACATGAGGAACTGTATTAAAGGGCTGCAGCATCAGGAAGGTTGAAAACCACTGGGCTAGAAGAATCCAATATGCGGAACCTCAAGATCTGACTATAAGCACAGAACTTTTGTCTTGCTCGTTGGGGTGACCCAGTAACTCACACAAGGTTTTATACACCATAGGCAACCACGAAGTGCTTACATAAAGTATTCAGTCGGGCCATAAGAAACAAGTCCTTTTAAAACTGGGGGAATTAAAAACAGTTTTGAGGCCTAGCTATAGTTGATACTCAAAAAATACTAAGTGATCGTTTAGAAGCACCCCAGTGCTAGCAATAAGCCACTGGAGCAATGGTTTGCTACTTTGAGGTGTTTCCAACAGCCTGGGGTGGGACATTTTCAGCTAAGAGGGATCTGCTAAATGTCTCAGCCTTGTTCTCATCAGCTTCCCCGAGACCCTCTGGACTTCCGTGTTGCATCTTCTTTGTGAAAACCTTGACTTCTTGGACCAGAATTTCAACCATAATACTAAAGGAATGTGCCTTTCCTGAGTCTTTGTCTTTTTTTATTTTTATATTTTTGTTTTTGTTTTTCAAGATAGGGTTTCTCTGTATTGCTTTGGAGCCTGTCCTGGAACTAGCTCTGTAGACCAGGCTGGCCTCGAGCTCACAGAGAGCCGCCTGGTGCCTTGTCTTTGTATTGCCTTAGCAGATCTTAAATTTTTGGACTTAGTGAAGCATTCTGGACTATGTGCTTCACATGCTCAGTAGGGAACCCACTTTGGCTCAAAGTCCAGACCCTGGGCCATGGCAAGAGCCTGGCGAGGATGTGCTACCTACTGGCGAGAGGCTTACTGGTACTGCTGATGGGTTTTGTCAGCTGACTTACTTGAATGTAGTTGTCAGCAACTCCCCAAGCAAAGCCACAGGGAAATGTCCCTTCTAGGGGTTGGTTTTCAGGCAAAGGAGGGAAGCCATTGTTCTCTATCAGCTTTTGGTAGAACAAGGCAGAAGACTTCGGCAACAGCGCCTTGTCCTGACTCAGAAAGTCGACATAGAAGAGTCCACGTCGGATGCTGTAGCCCCTGTGCCACTCGAAACCATCCATGAGGGACCACGCGGTGTACCCAATGACGTCGACCCCATCCAGCCTGATGGCTGCAGAGGGAAGAGAGGACAAGAGCCGTGTCATCCTCCACTGGGTGACTCAAGAGCATCTGAGGGGTTTTTACTCATAAGGAAACAAGGCAAGGGGCTGGGGAGATGGCTCAGCCATTAAGAGCACTGGCTGCTCTTTAGAAGAGCCAGGTTTGGTTCCCAGCACCCACATGGCGGCTCGCATCTGTAACTGCAGTCCCAGGAGATCTGATGCCATCTTCTGTGGGCATCGAATGCATGTGGTGCACATACACATATGCAAGCAAGCATTTACACACATAAAATAAAAATAAATAAAAATCTCAAAACAGTAAAAGAAACAAGTCAGATATAATGCTTCTTGTGTGGTACACATTATTTTTTCCTTGCTCACAAAAGGCTTACATCAAATCTAGATACCTCTGCCAGTCATACAGTCTTGCCTCCACAGTAGCAGTTTCTCATTCCCTCTATAACCTGGGCACCATGCATTGTGACTCGTGTCTTCTCTTTATTCCTCCACTGCGGATGGGATCAAGGGTCTTAGGGTGCCAGGCCCGTACTCTATACCTGACCCACTTTCCCGTCTCTAACCTTCAACCTACTAATTTATCCAGATCATATGGATATTCCTCTTGCTTTAAAAAAACATTTTATTGTGGAGGGAGGGAGTGGTGGTTATAAATGACCAATATACATTGTATAAATGTATGGAAATTTCAAAGAATAAAAAAAAATTAAAAAACATTTTATTCAGCTAAAACAAATGAACTAGAAACATGGTCAGGAAGCTAGATAGCCTAAGATTTTCAATATTTCATTTTATAATCTAACAATGTAAATGAGATGCTGTGAGTCAATTAATTTTAAATATTAATCCTGTTTTGTTGTTTTATCAACAAATTATCAAAGTTCCTTCTATGGAACTTTGAAAACTAAGGGCCCAAATGAGAAAGGTGTTACATAAATACATTTTTGCTACTGCCCAAATTATTTACATTGTGACAAAAATATGTATCTATGCTTTTCCAATAGTCTTAAAGGTGTATGCAAATGTGTGTGTGTTGTATGTGTTGTAACATGTGGTATGTATGTGTGTCTCTGATGTGTGGTGTGTGTATGTGTGTGATATGTGTACGATATATGTGTGGTGTGTGTGTGATATTGTATATATGATATGTGATGTGTGTGTATATGATGTGTAGTGTGTGCATATGAGTATGATGTGTGGTATGTGTGATGTGTATGTGGTGTGTGTATGTGCGTGTGTGGTATGTATGTGTGGTGTGTGTGATGGAGGGGATCCTGAATTTTGGCAGGAAATGGGAATTTTACTTGAAAGCTTACCTTTTAAAGTTTCCATTATGAACTTCTTGAGGTAATACATATATTTGGCATCATCTCTTTTTGTGGTTCCTGAGACAAACCAACCATTTTCCACAATAAATATTTGAGGGTGGTTATATTCCAGATCTATCCAAGACAGGAGCTGCCTGAGGCTGGGAGATTCCAGCTGTCGGAACTTCATGTGAGGGTCCAGTAGTTGAAAGCTCAACGTTGGTCCAAAAGAAAGAGCAAAAAAGTCAGCAGTTCCCCTGATGAGCTTCTTCTCAGATTCGGTAAAATGAGGCAGAAGTGAGGAGAGGTTGCTCTTCATGCTCTCTGGATAGTCCCCATCGATAAATATGGGTTTGGCAAACCAACCTAGCACAAAGTCCAAAGACTTCTGGCATTCTCTGATGTTATGGTCGGTCATTCTTCGGGGACTGATCCAGTGCGAACTTAAGGCAATAGACACCTGGCCTCCCTGAGTGGGGCGGAAGGAGGTATTGTAGAGATGCCAGATTTTGGCATGAGCCTACGGAGAGAAAAACATGGTGAATTTCTCCCAGATTGTGAGGAGACATGCAATCCTTAATGGATTCCCCAGCCCCACTGATGATGTCTGCCTTCCATGGGGCTTGGTGACTCGTCCACAGTAGAGCAATCAGCTACAGCCAACAAGTTATGTCAAAGAAGACCACCCCGCAGAAAACTGTCACCATGATCAGAGAGATTTCCAGTGTGTGTGAGCAGCCAGTGGAAAAAATGGAAATGTGTTGTATTGAGTGTGTAATTATGGTTCACACTGGAAAAATTAATAAAATAAGAATGTGTTATAATAGCTTACTGGTAAGTTGTCTTTGGATTATGTCCCTTTTAATTAATGAGTTTGATTTAAAAAAAGAAAAGAAAAGAAAAGAAAGAAAGAAAGAAAGAAAGAAAGAAAGAAAGAAAAAGGACCACTCTCCCATCTGTGGACATACCAGGAATTTCTAAATAGGAATGTTTTACTCTAAGAGACTGGGAGTTTCCAAATGGACTCCAGTTGTTTGAGTCAATCATCTATTTCTCATTTGTCTCTCATCACCAGAATCCTAACATGTGCTCTCACAATCAGCTTTTCCCTGAGAATCAGCATCATAAATTGAAAGATGAAACTTAGTATCTTGGCCCATCCTCCAGAATGCTGAGACAATTCTGGCTCCTTGGAGTGCAAGATTCAAGCCAGGAGCAAGAGACAACTGACTGCAGCTGTGAGGATGTGGGCTGGCACGCCTTGGCCCGGAGTCCCTTACAGTGTCGCTTTTCACAGCCAACTTTGCGCTTCCAGAAAACCCGATGCCTCCCAATAGTTCATGTGTTTCTTTTTCACTTAACAAACTCTGAAGCTAACCTGGGTTTTATTCCCTCTTTACCTTTGAACTTCTGGATTAATTCTTCCCATTCTCCTACAAATACAAGGGTTATTTGTCAGCCTTTTATTCCCCCGACACACATTTGGGAAACTCTCCCCCCATTTGCCTTTCCACACCATGTAATTTCCAGAACGACTCGTCCAATTTTCCTATCCCCAAATGAGCCAGAGGATGTTCTGCTCACTGCTCCAAATATCCTTTTCATTCTCCTCCAGTATTCTCCTGGTTTGTCTCAGTGCAGCCACCCAAGACTGGTTTTATCATAAGTTCAGCGAACCATTCATTGAAGTGAATTTGTCTACGTGTCTCGTTTTGACTTTTGTTAACAATATGCCTCATTCACTGACCGTACTCTCTCATGATCTGAAGCAGCTGCCTATAAGCTAAGAAAAAACAAAAGCTAAACCTTTGACCAAAGTTACAATGCCTTTTGCCTATGTGGCTGGAGAACACTAAGAGATTCCCTCCTCACCGATGCTGGCTGGGTGTTAACTCTTCTCTACCTTGCTCGATATCAAACTTTCGCTCCCCTGGCAGTTGACAGGAAACCTCATGAATATTGAGAGGCAAAGAGAAAAGACAGTGAGTAGGCTGGAATCCAACCTCAGGAAGCTGAGACTGGATGCTCCTACCTTGACCCAGATTGTGACCTTTGACCACTGGTGTCCTGAATCTAAGCACCCATCCACAGAACAGGGCAGAACCAGAACTACTCAGGAGAAGCATCACACTGCCCAGACCTGCCTGTGCTGTAGGGTGAGGCCTGTCTCCAAACCTTTACAAAGGGCTAGAGAGAGGGAGGGAAGGAGGGGCAGGCACACTGAGGCTCAGGGGTAGAGTGCTTATTAGCTCATAAAAGGCCCTAGGTTTAATCTGGGGAGACAAACAAAAATCACCCAATAAGAAAATGATCTGCCCTTTATACAGCAATGGAGATCGATCTAAAAGATGCTACCTAGAACAAAAGAGTCAGGACACAGAGGACACTCACACTGTTGTGTGACTCCATTTGTAAACCTCCAGATTAGTGTCTAGTGACAGGAAGCAGAACTGTGGTTGCCTGTGGACAGTGAGGATCAGTGAGGAGTCACAGGAAATTTTATACGACAGTGGGAAGGTTCTGTGCCTCTATAGGGTGTCTGCCCCCCCCCCCATGGATGGTGTCCTAGTTGCCTTCTTAGTTGCAGTGGGTTTATTTGGCTCTCAGGCCCATTATTGAGGGAAACTAAAGCAAGAACCTATAGGCAGAAACTGAAGCAGAGACCCCAGAGGAACTTTCTGGTTTGCTCAGCTGGCTTTTTGATAGAGCCCAGGCCTACCTGCCCAGAGATGGTCTGCTCACCATGCACCCTCTCACACCAATGAAGAAATGCCACACAGATGTGCCCACAGGACAATCTGATGGAGGCAGTCCCCCAGCTGAGGTTCCTCTTCCAAGGGGTATTAAGTTGACAAACAAGATTATATTTCACACATGGAGTTGCCAAAAGTCATCAAATTGTGGAGTAAAAGATTAAAGATTTATGGGGGAAGAGATTGTGAGTGTGTTACTGGTCATAAAGATACAGTTGTAAATTATCCAGGATTTATGTGACAAGAAACACCAGTTTCCTCTGAAACAAATTCAACTCTACAGCTACAGGGATAATTCATTATATTAAAAAAAATCAGTTACTTTGTTTTTAATTACAAGAATCAAGACTCTTTAACTTGTGCAACAAATATCACACTCTGCAGTTTGCTGAGAGGTTCAAACAAGTGTCTTCTCATGGAGCTTATATCCCAGGGAGGAGATGGACAGAGGAGGTTAGAAAGTGATAGGATGGGGAGGGGTGTGATTAGATAGGAAGGGCTGACAGGGCATCATTTGAGGAGAGACCCAGCCCCCCAACAAAAAAAAAAAAAAAAAAAAAAAAAAAAAAAAAACAGTGAGAGACAGCTCAGCCACTAAAGGCTAGGCTTACAACTAGAATATAAAATAGGGATAGCAATGACATTGCCCTTTCCCATCCTTATGAGGATTGAATACGTTGATACTGGTTGAATATATCTAGCCCCCAAAACCCTAACTCTGAAATGCTCCAAAACTCAACACTCCTTGAGACCCAATCCAACCACCACAGGTGAAAAGGCCCATCAGCCCTCATGCCAGGGTTCTCAGTCAAAAGGCAGAGGTCCTGTGAAAACCGACCACACTAGCGTCTGCACACAACACACAAATGAATCCTGTATTGACTTGGGTCCCACCCCAAGATGTCTCATCATGTGTGTGAAAATGTCACAAAGACCAGGATCTGAAAGACTTCTTGTCTCGGCCACCTGGGGTGAGGCTTACACAGTCTTTGCAGTCTTTACAAAGATGGCTGCCATTATGACTGTCACCTAGTGAGCCCCATGTGTTTATCCTTTGACTGTGGTCGCAATGTCACTTGGCTTATGAATTTTGAAAGGTGACTGGATATCTGGATATGAGGTGGAGAATGGGAAGGCAACAGGGGACCCAACAGACCAGTTAGGCAGCTACTGCAATAATGATGGCTCAGGCAAAAGATGATGACACTTCGGACAATCAGTCCAGGTGAAATATGATGCTGGACCAGGAGATACTGACAAGTGGCCAGACTTAGGTTATCATTGATAAAGGAATCAGTGTAGCTTGCCGATGTACCAGACGCTACACAAGGGATGCAAGAGAAGAAAGAAATCACAGACAACAAAGGATGCCCCAAATCAAGGAGATCAAATTATCTTCAAGTCAGAGAACCACCGTCTCAAGGAGGATGCCTGGCAGAAAGCTGGGCAGTTGAAGCTAAAAGTAAGAAAGTCACAGGTGATATTAGCATTCATAATACATCTCAGGGACCATACTCAATGGGTCACTTTGTCCTGACTATTCCTTAGATTTAAAACTAAAAATGAAAATGGAATAATTCTTAGAAGATTAACTTAATCCTGTGAAAATTAATTTAAAATCTTAATTAAATTAACTGTGACCAACGGTGAAAGAATTGAAGTATAGCCCATAAATAGAAAATAATTGTTATTCATGCATATCTACATTCAAGAGCCGTGATGTGAGGTCCCAGAGGGAACTTCTTACAAAGACAAATGGTTGAAACATTTTAAGGGAACATAGGGCTGGTTTGTTTGTTTGTTTGTCTTTGTTTTCTTTCCTTTTGTTTTTCTTTTTTGTCATCCTTACCTCAACTTTAAGAACAATGACACATTTGAGGACTTTCTCAAGGTCACTGCTATACTGAGTGAGTTACGAAAGCTTGCTGACTGGCCTCATGCCCATGTTTATAGACCAAATTATCCTCTTATTTGTATCAGCACAATCCTGTGGATTATAAACTGTAGTTCCTCAACAGAATTTCAATCAGTCTCCCAGAAAACGTTCATCTAATGATTTCCCCAAAATAACCTTCAATATTTTCCATCCACAAAACAGCCAGCTGTCTCCACACAGAGTTCCTTAAAATTTGCACAGTGCCAAACCTGACAATCAGGTAGACAAACAGAATAGAATCAAATCATGGCACCTAGGATGACTTGCCTTGCCTTTACTGAGGTTGTGTGTGTGTGTGTGTGTGTGTGTGTGTGCCTCTGGTATCATTCCTTAGGGGCTTTCTATTTTATTTTTTGACAGTGTCTGTCATTGGCCTGGAACCCACCAACTATGATAGGTGGCTGGACCTATGACCCATCCCCCACCCCCCAAGGGGGCAGTCTCTCTCTGCCTTTTCAGTGCTGAGATTACAAGAGCCAAGAGCACAAACTATGACCTTTTTCCCCCCCACGTGGTTCTATAGACCAAACTCAAGCAAGGTCCTTACTGACAACAGCATCACTCAGACCTCTGCTTAGGACTCTGTTCAGTTTCTCTTGGTTGCTATGATAAAGACACGAAGACCAAAAGCAACTTGTGGAGGAAAGAGTTTATTTGCTTTAAATATTCCTATCACAGTCTGTCATTGAGGGAAGCCAAGACAGAAACAAACTGAATTATACTTACCTACAGAAAACTGTGCAGAATGTTAGCTAATTCATGGGACCATACACATGTGTAAAAGGGCCACACATAGGACAGGTATCTTCATTTTCCTTCTGTTGCTGTAAT